GCATTGTTAGCTTAGTATGTGAATGTAGAACAGACCTCGTGAGTTATCATTGGGTTCGAAAATGTCGTTAAAACCGATGGTATTCGATTGATGAGTCACTACATTCTTATAATTACAAGGTTTTGTTTGATAACATTGCGACTTAAACCGCCGGTATGTTAAAATTGCTATATTAATTACCGGGTTAGCTTCTATTCTACGTAGGTACTTTGGTTTTATCAAAAGTTAATGATCAGAACGAAAAAGTTATTCATCTACAATACCACCTCTCCCTCAAATCATATCATTAGAGATATTATAACACAGTAACTTGTACATCTTGGCTCACATGTCTGTGAAACTTCCATGTTTTTGGATGGGTAATTATATCCAACTCTATTTGACTTTGATATTTTGTCTTGTAAGACACTAAGAGAAAAAAAAATGTTCTGTTACATTATCAATAAAGTAATCGTTTTATAATGGTAGAGGATTGAATGTGTCTTGACGCTATCCCAGTACTTAACCAATTAGATAACCAGCAGGCCACTCCTAGGGTTCAACTTCAGGCTTCCCTACATCCTAAAATGTTTCATATGTATGGCTCATTTTCATTCAGGTGGATCAGTTTTGACTTGTGACAGGTGAAGGGAATCGTGCGGTCCTCGAGAGTGTTCTAGGGTCGCAAGTGTGACCCTCGGATTAATTTAGGTTGACCACGTTGGATTAGGCTAATATTTGCGTATAAGAAGTGCTTGCTTTGGTTTTATATCCAAAATTAACCGGGTCTGATAATACAAAAAATGACAGCTCGCGCGGTAGCCATAAGCCTGTACTGAAATAAACCGGTTTAATAGAAAGGTTTAATAATGGTTTACCGTCGCAGTGAGAACGAAGTTTAAGCCCTATGGTCAAACTTATAAATCTTAATTTCTTTAAATAAAACGCGCGCACCGCAAACGCGCTGCTTTACTGGAAACACGGGGCACCTTCTAGTATATTTTTGATACTGGGAAATCATGGACAGTTCTTGCCAACATTTCTAACCAACATACTTGATTATTTTTAAAGTAATGCAACGTCTAATGTGAAGTTTGTTGAAATCGTAATGCATTTTATTAGCAGGTGAACTTGGCATGCTTATAAGTATATAGATTATGCTTTAATTAATACATTGTTTATTTTCCCACGTAAAACGCCCTGGAAGGAATATCACTAAGATGTTATCAAGTTAAGCACATATACTATTATAGAACTGTAAATACTCAGCCCGTTCAGATTTCGGGTAGTATGTTAATAATATGTGGATTAATGTGCAGGGTGTCCGAAAAGTCTGGAACCATAGATACTTAAACGAAGTTTCCAGAATGTGTTCCACACGTTGTCCTTGTAATTCGAAACAAGTTTTGAATACCAACAGGATTAACTCGACCTTCTCCTGTTTTTGATAGTGCCATAATCAGTCTCATATATGAAATTAAGAAAAGCTGCAAATCACCTCTGGTTCCAGACTTTTCGGACACCCTGTAGAAAGGTAAACGTAATTTTAAAGTAAAAAAAATTGTACTTTCAAACTGCTTTAAAATTTATTAAACCGACTCGTAAAAATATGAAATAAAGATTAGATATAAAAAAGTCATTGTATTAACACGTTGTACTTTAATTTTTAACTTGCTGGAGTACCCGTAACCTGGACGGAAGTTAGGTAAATTCATGATTAATGAAAGGTTATCTTAGGACATGAAAAGTTGTTTCCTTTATATGTAATTGTAAAACCGCAAGTTTGTATGTATCTCCGCATAAACTCAAACCTTCATGCCAAATTTGGTAAATATCCATCAACAAGGGGCGAAGTAGTGGTAAAAAATGCCCATGAAAACCGCAAAATGCCGAACTGAAAATTAAGACCCAACAAATCTTCGTGCCAAATTTGTTAAAGATCCATCCACAGGAGGTGAGGTAGTGGTAAAAAACGGCCATAAAAACCGCAAAACTGAAACCTTCATGCCAAATTTGGTAAATATCCATCAACAAGGGACGAAGTAGTGGTAAAAAATGACCATGAAAACTGCAAAATGCCGAACTGAAAATTAGGACCCAACAAATCTTCGTGCCAAATTTGTTAAAGATCCATCCATAGGAGGTGAGGTAGTGGTAAAAAACGGCCATAAAACTGCATCCCCCCCCTCCATAATGAACATCCATACCAATTTTGGTCAAGATCCAACCACACCCTGCGAAGTAGCTACATGGGCATACAACAGACAGTACTATTATATTTACATAGATTCCTACATCTATTGTATTTAACGCTAAGACGTTACCCACATCCTAACTTTATTGTTTTTAAGATTTTGTTGTATTAATAACTCCAAGCTAGTTTTGAGGTCGCACTTAAACTTGTTTAGGCTTACTTATAACTGTGGTTCTGAATGTGTTGGTGTGTGTGTGCACGTGTTATGTAAAGTTTCTTGATTCACACGTATTGTTATGAATATTAATTAACTTTATTCATCGTAAACATTGTTTCAAATTAATATTACCGTCTCAGTGATTAAGGGAATTTTGTGCAGTTATTGAATTATCAATACTAACAATATAAGACTGCCATTTTGACCTTTTTTTTTTGCGAGGATAAAATATCATACTTCATTTGCACTAAAACACTAACGTGCTTTTAACCACCTCGAATTTTGAAGTATAAGATGGACTTGTTAATATCCATAATAAATTCTTTTTTTAAGCACAGTGTGATATGTAAAAGTTTTACTTAATAAAATAGCTTTTTCGTCTCGTGGGATTACAGTAAGATCTATATTGTGAATCTCTAGGGTAAAAACTAGATTTACATCCACAGGGTCCTGCAAGTGTCTGTTTCAAGAGTAAATAAAACCAAGATTAAGAGTAACAAATATATTTTTTTCTTGCGTTTCAACTTCATATGTCTTGCTCTGTTGTAGCCACCAGAGGGCACAATTTTTCTCGTGATTCATGACATGCGCACGTTTTACTGACTTCACGACAAAAATTGCAACGTTAGGCTTCCCTTATGTGACGTCATTTTAGTGTACTGACTGACTGGTAGACCATTTCTGTACAGTGGTGCGAGTGGTTAAAATAGGTGACTCTTTCAGACGGCCACCGACCCTCTTTCGGGAAATTAACTAACTGTACCGTTAAATAATCATTATATTTAAAAAATAAAAATCCAATATTTGTAATGAGCTTTTTAAAAATGAAGTCCTACCTTTAAATTAACACATTTATTGACTTGAAGTAGATGCATTGTGCATTAAGTAGCAGTCTTCTAACAAGTATAATGTTGCACGTTTCATAATTGTTTGACACGCTTTAAAGCCTGCGTATGAACCAACGAATTTGAGTGATAACCATTTCAAGGAAATTTAGACTAAACAGCTATGAAGCAGGTTCGAAAACTTTTAAATGCTTCCTTGTTCTTGATCGTGAATGAGGGGATTGCGAAACTGCTAATTATAGACCAATGTTGCAGTACTTTTGTTATTGCGGCATATTTATTTCCGCAATTGCTTTTTCTCGTTATAATATTGATGGGTGGGTTACAACAGAACAGCAAATGATTCCTGGAGTATACGCACGAGTTATTGATTGATTTTTGTTATTGTTTTTTTTTCAAACTGTTACTATTTCAGATCATAAAATGAATATTTGCACATTTATTAGAAATTATGATTTGAAGCAAATTTCTCTACACTTACACTGTATCTGACCTCTTTATTTTTCATCATGAATGTAAAAATTCATTTTTTGTATTTAAGGCAAAGCTGTTAAGGGTATCTGCCGAAGTTCATAATTTTGAACTACTGGCCAGAGCAAAATAAGCCAGTCAGCACCCTTCAAACCACCATTCACGGTAAGGGATTGACTGGGTGGGTGGGGATATCTAGAACTCTAGCACAAGGCCAATCCACGCCCAAATATTGAAATACTTGAATATGTTTGACCATTTAATTGGGGAATCTGTGACCAAGTTGCTTTTGAGAGACACTGTATGCTATTAAGAAAGAACCTTGAATAAAGCAAAATGTTTCGGTTATAAATTTTAGTTTTGTATATTGATACCAATTGCTGTTAAACATTTATGTGACAGTATTATCCACCCTAAGTATGTAACTAAGATATTGTAGTCAATATTATGTGGAAGGTTTTTGCTGCTAAAATTCTCTACTTACGATAATTTCTGAGAGATAATTAAGCATATAAGATTTTTTGTCAATATCGATCGCTAGTCGAAAAGATTGAGATTTTGGGCCAGTTTAACTATCGAGCTGCAGCTGTTGCCGTAGTAACAGCATTCAATACGTTGGAAAACCCTGGCAACAGGTCTTGTCAAGATTTTTATTAAAATAAAGTTTTTCACACACACACACGCAGTAGAACTCAAAAGAAAATAACTAATATTAATTTTTCATTAAATTATTATAAGCCATCACTTATTTATGATAAAGTTGGACTTCATTATCGCGTTATGGTAACCTGTGAATGTAATATAACTATTTCAGCGGTGTTTACCGTTGTTTTCACTGCATTAACTTCAGCCAAGAAGGTTAACAGATAAAACATGCTCCTAGTAAACGGTCTAACTCATGAAAAGCCATTACCTTAAGAGATAAGTGATAAAATTCCAACATATGTGTTTCAGCACTCTCACAAAATTATGTTCTGTTGAAAGCTGAGAGGTTTAAAATATGAGATAAATCAAGACAACTCCCTCGTGTGCCCATGTGTTGTTTCTCTGACGGAACGTGCAGTAATTAAAAATGTGTAATGCACGCTGTTTACGCAACAGATTAAAGTCAATAAACGTTGGTGTAATTGAAGCGTTTTTTTTGTTTTTTTTCTAAGAGTTAGTAGAAAGGCGTTTTGGTGTGATCTGAGTATGTGCTAATAATATTTAATCGGCCTTACTTTCATTTGATAGACTGATAGAGATGTGATTTGAAAGTGAATTGCATCAGGCAATGTACTAGTAGATGTCAAGACGTACATCGTTTTTTGCCGACGAACAAATTACGTGTCTTTTGATGATGTAGTAAGTGTGTAATGGGCAAGCGGTGTCACTGATTCACGTGTAACACCGATGAGTCAAGGTACACTGTTCTTGCTGGTGTAACTGAAGCTGGAACGTTCGTGCTGCTAGAGAATAGGATTCTTTTCATTAGTTTTGTGTCGAGCTTGGGTGGTGCAGTGGTTAACAAGCGTGAGCGGGTTTACTAAGCACAGCTCGTTCTAATGCTAAGCCTTGGCAGACTAGACTGGAAAAAGAACGAGCGTAATAATACTAGATCGTAAAACGTTATTAATAAATTTTAGCAAAACATTATGAAGATACTGTGGGATAACAGAGACCAGGTACGTGGAAGGCAGCCATATTACTTTAACTACAAAAATATTTCGAACTTATGTAAGAGTATACAAAACATGTGGTTTAGGTGTGGAATGAAAGTAATATATGTTTCTTGTACGAGATGTGTTATTTAAGTCTTCGTAAAAATGAAAAGTTTTTTTGTTGTTTTCGTTTATCCCATTGTATATTTTTTTTCTCTTTTTACTGAGAATTAAACCTCAAATATGTAGACAGAATAATAAATTGTTTACATAAAATTGATTTTAATGGGCAGTGACAACTTGTTTTTAAAAGTTATTCAATACTGTCGATACAGTTTACAAAAACGATTTGAATAAGAAGCTGTTTGAAAGACAGTAAAGCCTGTTTTACTCCTATAAGTTTATTTTATTTTTATTTGGATGCGTTCATAATTTTTAAAGTATGTCATAATCACTGAAGGGTAATAAGACCTAGGCAGTGATTTGTTAAGATTGGGGTAGGGTGCTTTCAATTTAACAAAGTTCTAGTAGTATTAGTTTTCTTAACATTTTGATTAATCTTTGATCTGGTTTAGACACTTTAAAATTTTATGTTGTATATATTTACTTTTACCAATTTAATAATAAAAAAAAAGATGCACTTTAGAAAAGCATTAGTAAAGGTTTTCATGTTCAAAATAAATGTTGTTATTTATTGACTGACTGAATAATAGTTCCACACTAACAGTATGTTGATCAGTTCTGTTATTTGTTTTTGTCTTTAATTCCAAACAGAGCCTTGCTTGACTTCTAAACTAAATGTGTTGCATTATGAATGATTAGTAAATATTGTGTGGGTTATTTCATTCCTTTGTAATTAACATCTTGAATTAACTTAGTACTAGAGTCTGAAGGAAGAAATGAATTTTAGTTTAGCAGGAAATAGTCAGTGAAACAAAAAAAAGTTTGATTTCTCATATGATGTAGAAGTGTTTCATCATGTTTTACTTGGAGTATAAATTGAGTATTATCTCTCATTTATCAGTAAGAATATTCAGTTACGAGATATTTGCTACAACTATACACTTTATTTATTAAGCTTAAACCTACCTCAGTTTACTAACTACAAGTAATTTGTGTAACTGACCTTACAAATGTAGTTGTACATGTAGACTGTAGCATGTTTTAAGCCTAAAAATGTGGTATTTGTTTTATATATATATATCTTCAAGTTTCATTGTGGTTATGGAAATGTTCAAGAAAAGCACTGTTTTTTTCGCATCAGGGGAGAAGGATTTTTAGATTAAGATAGGGAAATATGATATTTTACCGATGATCAGAGAAAAGCTAGGAAATGAAATTTTGCATCATGGATTGTTTAATACATTATTATTATTTTATCCATGAGTATATGGATATCGAATATATTTAATATTTATGATACATGTAATTTGTACATTTATAAAATATATTCATAAAATACTTAAATCACTGTTCTGTATCTGAAGTTTGAGGATAAGTCAGTTGAATAAGTGGGATGGAATGAGTACTCTGAGGGGTCATGGAAGGCTGTTAAAATGGAAAATAACATTTTAGTCAGGGAAAAATACTTTAAAGTTATAGAATTTTATTTTGTATTATGGTTAGAAACTACTTTTATTATATTAAAGCATAGTATTGTGAAAATCTGAATTGATAGTTTTATTATTAGAAATTGTAGGTAATATTGATTGTGAAAAATTTATGTTATTTACAAATACAAAGGCTAATAATTTTGCTCACTAGTTATTCAGATTCAATGAAGGATATGGATAAAAGTAAAGTATTTTTAAGTATTAAAAACATAGGTCTGTGAAATTTGAATAATCTAGAAAACTACCCATTTTTAAAGCAGATTTGTTGATGATAATATAAGTTATATAATAGAAACAAATGAGCTGTAATACTGCTGGCTTTAAACTGCAAGTTTTATGGCAGGTAAGTAACTGTTTCAACAAAGCTAACTGAATGTGGAATATTATGTGAACTTTTCACGTCATATGTTTATTTTTAGTTGAGTGTTTCATTGGATAAATTACATTGTGAACATGATCACTCACTGTCACAGATATCAGTTTCTTCTAATATTATAAAATAGGAGTGGCTAATGAGTTTATGGCTATCAAAAGATGAATTAGGGAGAATTGGAGAAAACTCTGGCATGGCATTCTAGTTTACTTTTTTCAAAGAAATTTATTTCTAAAGCAGTAGTTCAAACCAACAGTTAGTGTTCTGTGTTCCCCAAGTAAGGTATACTATATTATTTAATCATTGTTACATTCATTAAATAGTATTGGTTATATTTAATATATCGATTGTCATTAATTTTTAATTTGATCAATTTTTATTATTATACCTTTATTATAGAGACTATTTTGGACTGTTAGCTTCATTTTTGTATTTAGGACTAACTTGTATCTCCTAAGGTAGTCGTACCTTTTGAGATATTATTGGATTACTACCAAAAATATCATTAACAGTGATGGTACTCAGTTGATGAAACAATGCATTCTGATGTTTATTGGTAGAAATGTATATTTAATTAGCTACACTGATTGCTAGGTTGATTTTAAGTTTGTTCTAAGTACATATTTTGCTCCAATTGGAAGTTAATACTAATTATACTGCTGTGTGATGGCCCCTTATTAACTTTTCATACTTAAGTTATAGATATTCATGTTACCTTTACTTTTATTTTTTAATCTTATTATTAGAGCATTTAACACCTATTCAGTGTAATATCAGTGAATTCTTTATAAACATTTGAAGCTTACTGTAGAAATTCACTAACCAAAACAGAAACTTTTAAATTCTAATTAGCATTTTTCAGATGTGATTGGTTATCTGCCAAAATTGACCATCGTTCTAGGTTGTGTGCATGCAGTTTGCTTGTTATAAATCTGTTTCGGAAAAATAAAGTATCAATTTTAAAGGTCAGTTTAATAGAAAAATCACTAAACTAATAACATGATTAAAATGTGTATTTTTGTTTTTTTATTCTTGTTTTGCTTTTTCATTGCAAAAGAACTGTACCAGTCCATAAAAATAGTAAACTCCATTCATGAATGTTGGTTCATGTATAAAACAGGGTATTATTTTAACATTAAAGAAAAAAAAAACTTCACAGAGGAAGTTGGATTAACTATAATTCTTAGCAAGGAATTCTTATAATTATTTTCAAGTCATTACAAATAAGATACTATTTAAGAAGTTTATACATTTTTTTTTCTAGTGCTGATGCCTTATTACTTAATTTTTCTTTTAATGGTACTTCTTAACATCATACTAGGCATAGGTTTAAAGATGAGCTTAATTAAAAACATTAACTTGTGTACTCACATATAAGTGTTTTGAATTTATCAAATTTCACTTTGTTTTAATTTGTCAAGATATACAGTATACATTCTTCATGTTTTACTAGACTACAATGAAACTTAAATTGTCACATACATAATATGCTGAATTTTGGTGTATGTGTATTAATGAAGTCTTATGTTTCCTGTTTATCTTGCATAAATCTTCTATAGCTGGATGAATTCTATCGAGTATTCCAAAATTAGTAATGTTATGTTAGTGTCACACTATTCCCAATAATAAAACTTTTTAGCAAATCATTAGAGATGAATTTGCTTTAATTTGGAACTATCAGCAGATGGAGGAGGTATCTTAGTATTTAAAAATGTTACTACATAATCTGTAGGCTTTTATGTTGCTAATTAGGCACATATTTATTGAAAACGTTAGTCTGAAAGATTGTTGTGGTGTGTTAGTAGTCCAGTTTTTTTGTTTTCTAAAGCAGTGCTTTTCAGCCACTAGTCCACCGGACCAGCGGCAGTCCATTACAACTACCTTACTAGAGTTTAGGATTAAATGTAAACAAACAAACAAAAACTGACAGAGCATTCATATGTAAATAGTAATGGTGTTTCTTTGTATATGTATTTTAGTGGTCCATGACAGTTAAGGGAGGCAATGAGCCAGTCCCTGGTATAAGGTTCAGAAATGGTATTTTAAAGCACACTACCATCCTTATTTTGTTATATCTAAGTGAAATGTTTCTTATCCACTTGTTATATTCAAGTGCCTTGTAAATTATATGACATTTATGTTTTATTATTACATTATTTTTGATAAGATTCAATAAGACATTGAAATTTACTTTTTATTAGTTAAATTAGCATAATTTTTAACAATAAAAATCTAAATCCTTGAATAAAGTAAATACTTGTATAATTGCCATGTATTTTGTTTATGTATGCTTACTTGTTTTTGAATACTTGTACAAGCTTTACAGTAAGATTCTAAACTGTTTGCCATCGCTTTGCCAACAATTGTAAATATGTTTTTAGTTTAATGATAACCTTTCCTAAGAAGTAAAAACTATGAAAATAAGAATTTTAAACTTGTAAGGTTTAAAATTCTTATTGTTTACGCACAAAATTGAATAATTATTTTACAAAAAGAAGCAGAGATTTTCAGAAAGTTACAACTACATAAATTACTACATTTTATCCAGTAATTTATATAAAATCAATCATTATTAGACCGCTAGAAAATGAATTATTTTTGTGGTTAAAAATGATCCAGTAGTGATGGATTTTTATATAAATCATTGTATAAAATGTAGTACTTATCTAAACATACCTAATATAGAAACAAAATAATCATTCTCACTCATTATTGCATAATGTTCATCATTTTAACAGAATCCTAATTCTGAAAGGAGAGAAGTGTTGGAACAGGTGGAACATTGTAAACAACTGTCTTGTTTGAACTTTGAAGTTCATATTAAATCCTGGATATGTAAAAAAACAGTTGGTAGTTTATTCTGGAGTAATAGTATTATTATGCATAAAATTTGTAAGTTTTATATAGAAACAAGTTTATTAGTTTGCCCTTTAAATTAAAGTGGTTTTGTTTTTTAAATTTAAGTGTCTTATTTATGGATAACTGTGTTATGAAAAACCTAGGTACCCTTGAAATAAAAGTTGTTTTTTTTTTTTTTT